ATGGAAATATATGAGGTTTGTGTATCTCTTAGGCTTTGGAACTTTCAGAAAGTAGAATTCAAAACCAGAGATATTGATGAGCAATTTTTACCAGTGCAGTTTTCTGGCCCTGTGGTTTTTGCATTAGCTAATTGAGTCATTCAGATATATTAGTAATCGGCTTTGTTGTTGAACTGCTTTTAATGGATGGATGCTGTAGCCATCCGTGGCTAATAATTTGTAATCAAAATGAGAAGTAACAGAAGCACTTTGCTTTCACTCACAGGCATCTGTCCACAAGATGAAATAGATTTACAATGTGTTATTACTGTCAAGCAAAAACGCAACTGTATCACAAAGGGCCAAGGATGTTAGCAACAACGCCTATCCTGATTTGAAATATAAATATTCCATCCAAGTGCTCTATGGTAATCTCAAGTGGAATCAAGAACTCCCTTCAAAAGTAAATCTTTACACCTATGAAAATGAAGGTTTGTTTAGTAGCTCTTCACACTTGCTGTTAAACATTTCTTAAAAGACTTATCAGAATGCTTTGCCACACATATTTTTCAGCCTGTGAACATTTTTTTGAAAGCTATTTTACTGTTAATGAATGATCCTTTGGTTGTTGTAAAAAAGTGAAGTGGAATTTGTTAAGTGAAATGAAACAGAGCTGCTCCTTTGAATTTTTTTCTCTGTGGTTTATATTTTCTGTTTTCTTTCTATTTGATGCATAAGTTTGTAATGGATAGACCTAAGGAGAATGTTTTCTTTAAGAGTTTAGTGAGTATTGGGAGGCTTTGTACATCATTCATTCGATAGTGAAGGTAATTGATGGTCATGATTGACTTAGAAATAGAGATTTGGAAACTCCTCTTATTTCCATCAGTGTACCTGCCTCCAGGACTCCCTCCTAGCTACCAGTTTGCTATTTTAGATCTAATGAATTCTGGGAAACCAAAGCCTTAAGATTGTTGATATTGTTTGTAAAGTAAGTGTAAGGACCAAATGTCTTTCAGTAGTAAATTTGCATTACTTTTGTGCACAGATTTTAGAAGAGATATTTAATATCTTACTCATTTTACATTCTGAGACTGATACAGTATCTGTCAGGTAGTAGGTAATAATTAGCTGTTATTTTAAGGAATGGGTGCCATTTTTCTCATTCCTGAGATTCTTAGGTGTGTTTTCAAAAGTGAAGTTTCTTATCTATGTGTCTGCTGTGTAAGAGAGGTGCTGCTTTATTCTGTAGTCAGTGTAGAAGCTTTTTTGAAAAGTGAAAGTTCCTACATAAATTTTGAGCTCTTTCTTGGAAATGAAGCATCTTATAGGTAAGCCAATGTTGCCTTATGTCAGATTTTGTATTTCTGAGGTTTATGAGTGCTTTGGTGTAGTAATTACCCACAAATAATTTACTTAACATGCTAAAGCCGTGCATTATCATTCATGTCATTCTTCACCCCTCCTTGCCCATGTTAAAAATAAAACAATGGCAGGATCATAAAAGCTGCGGCTAGGAAGAAATGAATAATATAGCAAACATTTCTTCCTGTTGCATGGATGATACTGAATCAGGGCTGTGGCTTCCAGCAGTGGCGAGTACTGTGCGACAGCTGTGGAGAGAATGTGTCCTCCAGAGCCGCCTTTATTTTCTGTGGCAGGCGTCTTAGTGCACAGCACACCTGAAATGCAGCAGCCAGCAGCTGTCTGAAATGTGATGATTTAGTGGCGTGATACATTCATCTAAACTAATCCAGTTAAGGGTAACTTAATTAAGAGAATCAAATGTGCCAGCACTTTTTTGCTTCTAGAGGAATATTACTTTAGAGTGTTCACATATCTGCACTCCCTGGCAGAAAAAGAGGAGGAATCAGAGTCCTACATTTGGATGTGTATGAGAGTTAATCAATGCTACCCTTCCATGTCCAAATAACTCACCTGTCAGCCAAAATTTTAACATGTTAATTGAAACTGAAGGGACTTAAAATACTTAGCAGGTTATTTTGATAGTGAAATGTTATCCCACAGAAAGGATAATAAATTGTAGGTAGATGGTAGTTTTATGCAATGTTGGCCCGGGTAAACATACACAGAATTAGATCCCGGTTGTATCATAGACATATTTTTGAAGAATGCAATGCAGCCTGTTTCAGGTTAGAGCCACATCATGTTAATTATTAAACTTTTTATCTTTCAGATATTATATTTTATGTTTTGTTTTATTGTTATTTTCATGGCTACTATTTTCCCATTAAGACATAAAATGACTGATTTTGAAAAACTAGGATTCGTATCTGTTTCTTTAGATTATTTCTTTGGATTTTTATTAACATTTATCTCAGATGTGTATTCTGAATGTAATCAAGGTTTATATTTATGGTAAATTTAAAGGTGGTATTTTTCTTTCTGTAAGTGCTCAAATTTTGAATCTTCTATTTCTGCACTTGCACATGGGATGTAAGGTTTCTCAAACTGCAGGTCACATTGTACTTCAATATGCATATTTTTTTGAAATGGCAAAACCCCTTAGGACTATGTGATTTTCACTTGTGTGTGCATTGAAAGTTCACAGTCAAATACAGCTGAATAAATCATGGAACACGTTTCCCGTCCATGCCTGAGAAATGCAAATTGTTTTAGGTCAATTGCTGAGAGGTCTCGTCTCCATCTGAAATGTCTTGTTCACAATTTTCTTTCCATTTATTCTAAGCATATACAGTTCACTTTGCATTTGCTTGCTATTTTCACATTTTTGCTGGTTCCCAACATTTGCTTTAGCATAAGGAAGAACTGTAATTCTCATTGACCCTGCCCTCCTAAATGTATTGTCTACTATTTACAAACACGCATGTATCTTAACTTGAAAGACCTACTGCCTTCCAATTTCACGCCTACGGTGGGATTGGGGGGCAGAGTGGGGAGAAGTGGGCTAGGGAATCATTGCTCACCTACTTGCTCTACTCATATCCAAAGAAATAACTAAAAATAGGAGATAATAGCTAAACTAATAAATCTATAACAGTAGTAATTTCAATTTCTTAATATTTGTACAATATCTTCTGTTTTTCTATGAAAAATTTGCAATTTGATAAAATTCTGTATAGACAGAGGGTATGAGAGCTAAGAGAAAAATACTTACTGAATAGGTTTAAATTGTTAGTGATTTCAAACAACAGAAAATAGCTAACTTCACTAGTTTGAAAGTAGAGAACTTAAGAAAATATTATAATAATTAGGAATTAAACAAGAAAGATCAGGGGTCATTGGTAAGTTACTATTCGATGTAACTCATTTAAAAGATCTTATCTAAGATTAGTGAGAAATAACTTAACTTTCCTCACATTCTTTAATCGACACAAAAATTTCTGGGGGACAAATGACCAAATTTGAGGGCAGTTGATTGGATAGGTATATACTGAGAGTACCACTCTCTGTATATGTTCACTGTGCCTTGAGCAGTTGAGGCTGGGGCAGCTGGCCAGGGTAGGTGAGTGGGAAAGCTGCTGAAGCCCGTCCTCTGTTTCAGTGGAAGTCTGTTGTGTGCAGGCCTGAAGGGAGGGGAGAGCCTTTTCTGTGTCCACCTCTCTCATGGACGCTGGTTTACAGGTCAAAGCAGTAATGAAAGGAAGAACTGGAATGAACATCCACTAGAGGGCAGCATGTGGTCCCAATGCAGACACCTGTTTCCCTGGAGATAGATTCGTGTCTCCCCCAGCACATGTGACTGTGAACATGTTTGTTGTTCCTACATATGTAATGGATGCACATGGGCATCTTTTCCAGAAAGTGATTAACTAGCATGTGGGGTAGCTGATCAGATTTTGGTAAAGAGAGAGAAATGTATCTTGTTTATCTTGGCTGTGTATACGAATGTGCTTCTCAGGTCTGATGTGCCTTTGTGATGGTCACAGTCTTTGTATGGGGCAGAGGTTACCTAGTTAAGTTGGTAAAATCTCTTCAGATTCAGATCACATATTTAAGTAAAATAAAAGGGAAGAATCTATTTTTTCCATTGACATAAAATGTGATTACTTGTTCATGTGAAAAGATATATAATCAACCTTTTGGGTAAGACCAGCTGGTATGTCTGTAGGTTAGATGAAAAACATGATAAAAATCAATGAATGGCTCTCTCCATTACTTGGACACCTAACAAAAACTAATTAATTCAAAGAATTGACATTTACAAGCTAACATTGGAAGCTTTACCTGGACACAGTACCAATCAGTAACCACAGGGGGTGTATGTCAAGGTTCCTAGGGGCAGAATTTCCACAGTAAATTCTGTGCTGTGGCTTCTTTTACTACTTTGCTTTTTTTCCCTGGGTGAGGTTTTCTCTGATGCAATTCATTCTGCAAGAACTAACCCAGACTGGGCACACTTATTTACAAGATGAAAATATATTTAGGGTATTTGTCAAGTTTTATTTAAAAAATATTGTTATCTCTTTCTCTCTGTCTCTCATTCTCACTGTCCACTCTGCCTGACAAAAAAAAAATATGGTTATCTTCTGAATTTCTCAAGATAGGTACTGAAGGATTGGAAGCATGAAAAATCCTATTTTATTAAAATCTGGGCTTTAGGGCTTCTCTTTTAGATGAAACATTGTCTAACTAAAAAGTATAAATCTTGGGTTCAAGTTGTTGGCTTTGGAACATCATAATTATAGAGTAGTACAGTCATTATTAAATGTGTTATTTATTTGTTATGTATCATTGATCTTCAGAACAACTCTACAAATCAGTGCTTTTATTATCATTTGCATTATACAGGTAAGGAAGTAAGACTTTGAAAAGTAATTGATCCAGGTTTACATTGCTGGCAAGAAATGGAATGGCAATTTCAACAAAAGCAAACTGATTCAGAGTTCACATTCTTACCCGTAAATTACAGTGTCTCCAACTCACCAAAATTTGTACTTTCCTACTGCTTTGGGAAGAGTGTTGGTTGACCTCTATTTTCGTCTGGGTTACTGAATGTAATCTCTGAGTAACTGACACCCTTGTTTTTCTATCTGTAGGTCCCTGGGGAAGGTGTACAGGAGACTGTGGGCCGGGAGGAGTGCAGAGCCGAGCAGTGTGGTGTTTTCACATTGAAGGGTGGACAAGTCACTTGTCAAACTGTGATGAGAACAGCCGGCCCCCAAAGGAGAGAAGCTGTTTCCGTGTCTGTGACTGGCACAGCGAACTCTTCCGATGGGAGGTCTCTGATTGGCACCACTGTGTGCTCGTCCCTTTTGTCCAAGGAGAAGTCAAGCCTCGGACTGCAGAGTGTGTGACAGCTCAGCATGGGCTGCAGCACCGGACAGTGCGCTGTCTTCAGAAGCTGAACAGAACCATGGTTGCAAATGAAATATGTGAACATTTTGCCCCTCAGCCCCCCGCAGAGCAAGCCTGCCTCATTCCTTGCCCCCGGGATTGTGTGGTATCTGAGTTCTCACCGTGGTCCAAGTGTAGCAAGGGGTGTGGCAAGAAACTGCAGCACAGAACTCGTGTGGCCATTGCTCCCCCACTGTATGGTGGGCTGCAGTGCCCAAATCTGACAGAGTCCAGAGTCTGTGATGTTCCCACTTCCTGTCCTCTTGGAGAAGAGGAATATACCTATAGCCTTAAAGTTGGACCATGGAGTAAATGTAGACTGCCTCATCTTAAAGAAATTAACCTCACGGGAAGAACTGCTGTGGATTTTAGCTCTGATTCAGATGAGCAGATCACCTACAGACATCAGAGTTACAAAGCACATCATCACCATTCCCAGCCCTGGGACATAGAGATAGGTTATCAAACCCGACAAGTTTGGTGTACCAGAAGTGATGGAAAAAATGCTCTGATAAGGTAAGAGGACATCAATGCTTGTGTTCTTAATTCACCTAAAATGGGGTGATTTTATAAAGCCTCTTGAGATTTTATGCAAGGGGAACATTTTAATTAAGCTTTTAGTTTGAACTTTTTAGAAGCTTAATTTCAGCAATTTTCAGATTCCATTAGAAATATTAGAAAGTTTGTGGTCTAGAACAGGTAGTACTCTTAATTTTTTGGATGAGTACTGGTGCAGTCTTACAAGTAAGTTGTATATTTCCGTATTTTATCAAGACAGTAGAAATTATAAAATAGCTCTTTTGTTACAATAGTAATGGGAGACTAAATAGTTCTTTATAATGATAAATACTCTACTTCACTCTCAAATTAAGGGCATATATTATGTCACTATTGACTGTCCTTTGAAATATTTGCTATTAAAGATTAGTTATGCTCTTGTTGATTTTTGTTTTCACCCTTGTGAAGCCTTATTTATATGAATAATTGATGCTTTCTATTAGTAATAATAGAAAGTTAATCTGAGAGTGCTTTCTTTGGCATTGCTTTGATAAAACAAATTAACTAACAATAGTATCATTATCTACATGTAAAGGGAATGTATTGAAACTCCTAAAAACAATAAATTTTCAAAATTATTAATAGACATACATGTTACATACTTATATATGTTTTATATTATATATGTATATATACATATATTATATATATATAATTTAAAACAGTAGTCTAAAACAGGCTGATATAAATTCCTAGAAATGTGTTCAAAATAGTATTTGTTTTGGTGAGATGGTTAAACTACAGCCTACAAGGCAGGAATCCCATTTGAGTACCGATTTCAGTCTCAGCTGCTCCACTTCAGATACAGCTCCCTGCTAGTGTGCCTGGGGAGGCAATGGTGGGTGGCTGAGTGGTTGGATTCCTGTCACCAATGTAGGAGACTCAAATGGAGCTTCTGGCTCCTGTCTTCAGCTTGGTGGAGCCTTCACAGTTGCAGTCGTTTGGGGGAATGAACCAGCAGATGAAATACCCCTCTCTCTCTGTCTCTCTCAATCTCTCTGTAACTTTGCCTTTCAGATACATAAATCTGAAAAACAAAGAAAATAATATTTGTTTGAATTTCCTCCAGAAGGTCTTAAATTGGAACAGTAGTATATTACTGGGTTTTTTTCCAAATGAATATGCCTATCACTGGTACTTAAATTACCAAAAAAGCATGATGCTCGCCTCTATAATTAATCATTATTATCAGTTGCTGCTTTCTCAGGGTGCCCAGAAAACTACCTCAACTGTTTAAGAACAAAGTAATATGATGATTGCTTTTTATTCCATTTGACTTCACAAATGAGTATATTTTATCTTTGATGCTTCATTCTGATTTATGCCAGAAGCAATTGGCAAGTACATTGAAGAGTGATTTGCAGGTTTTTATTGCCTACTTCTATGAAGCCCAAAAGATTAAGCAAATGATTAGGGTGATATGATTGAACGTGTATATGGTATTCTGTAAAAACGTTGCTTGGTTAATATTCCATGCTGTATTGCTGCAGTCACATTCCATAGATTCTGTTTCATTCTGTGTGCTTGTTTTATCTGTGTTTCTCTTCTTTTAAAATAGACTTTATTGTGCAGATCAGTTTTAGGTTTCCTGAGAAATTGAGCAGAAGTATATAGAGTTCCCATATACTTCTTCATCATCCCCAACACAGTTCACCTGTTAGTAACATGTTGTGTTAGTGTGTTGCTGTCTTAGCTTGTGAATGTCTGTCTCTTTCGAATTCCTCTGTTGCATTTAGGTGTTAGGAGGTGGGACCTTTGGGAGGTCTGAGGCCATGGGGGTAAAGCTCAATAAATGGAATTGGTACTCTTATAAGAAGAGATATAAGAGCTTGTTCTAACTTTCTTTTTGCCATGCAAGGTTACAATGAGAACTGAAGTCTACAACCCATAAGAGAGATCTCACACAGATCTTATTGTGCTGGTGCTCCGAGCCCAGACTTCCAGCCTACACCCCAGTCTACAGTGCTTTATTACAGCCCCATGAACTAAAATACATACATGCACATACAACGCTGTAGAGTAGGGCTCAAACAACAGAAATTTATTTCCACAGGTAAAGAGGCTGGCAAGTGTACATTCGAGGTGAAGGTTGATTTAGTTCCTAAGAAGGGCTCTCCTCTTGTCTTCTAAAGTGACATCTTCCTGCCAAGTCCTCACTTTGTGAGGGGGTGGAGGGCTGGGGTTAGAGACAAATAACATTTTCCTGACTTTCGACAGCCATGAGGCCAAGTGTCCATTCCCTCAGGTCTCTCCTTATTAGTGCATGAATCTATTTATGAGAGCTCCACCCTCATGATCTAATTACCTTCCAAAGGCCCTCACCTCTACATTGAGGGTTAGCATTTCAACATTTGAGTTGTAAGGAAGCACAATTTCAATTCATAGGTGCCTTTATTACAGTTGATAAGGCCATATTGATATGGTTATCACCAGAAGTCTGTAGTTCACTTTAGGGTTTGCTATTCGTGTTTGTATATTCTCTGGGTTTGACAAATATATGATGACATACCATCCACCATTACATTATCATACAGAATAATTCCATGTCCTTGAAGTGCCTGTTCTCCATATGTTGATCTCTTTACCCCTGTCCCCAAAGTCTTGACAACTACTGGTCATTTTACTGATTGTCTCTATAGTTTTGCATTTTCAATATGGAGTTATATGATGTGTAACATTTCCTGATTAACTTATTTTACTTAGCAATATGAACTCATATTTTCCCCAAGTCTGCCTTTGACTTGATAGCTCATTTATTTTTGTCACTGAATACTACTTCATTGTTGAATATCAGTTTGTTATTCACTCAACCTCATGGAGGACATCTTGGTTCCTTCCAAGTTTGATGATTATGAATAAAGCTGCTATAAAAATTCATGTGCAGATTTTTTTCCCTAAACATAAGCTTTCAACTCATTTGGGCAAATATCAAGAAGCACAATTGATGCACAGTATGGTAAGAGTCTGTTTAGTTTTTAAGAAATAGGCAAATTATCTTCCAAAGTACCTACATAATTTTGCATTTCCACCAGTACAAAAATGGAGTTCCTACTGTTACACAATGCCAGTATTTGTTGTCTGTGTTTTGGATTTTTGTGATTTTAATAGGTGTGAAGCAATAGCTCACTGTTTTAATTTGTAATTCCTGAATGATACATGATGTTGAGCACCTTTTTATATGCTTGTTTGATCATCTGTTTATCTTCTCTGATATTGTATCTGTTTTGATATTTTTCTTCTTTTATTTGCATTATTTGTATTGTTATTGTAGATTCTTAAATTTAGGATAACAATTGTTTATCATGTATGTTTTCTATAAATACTTTCTGCCAGTCTATGGTTTGTCATTTCATTTTCTTAACAATGTCTTTCACAAAGAAGAAGTCATTAATTTTAATGAAGTCTATGTGCTCAATATTTATTTCAGGGATCATTCTTTTTGTGTTGCATATAAAACAAATCACAAAACTAAAGGAAAACCTGATTTTCCTCTTATGTTGTTTTCTAGGATTTTAATAGTTCTTTGTTTTATATTTAAGCGTATGTTTCATTTTGAGTTATTTTTTGTGAAAGGTATAAGGTTAGGGTCTGTTCTCACTTTTTAAAAAAGATATATATTTTTTTATTTGAAAGGCAGAGTTGTGTAGGCTGGGGGAGGGATAAGGAGAGAGAGAGGGAGAGAGGCATTATCCCTGTGCCAGTTTACTCCCCAAATGACTGCAACAACCAGTGCTGGGCCAGGCTGCACCCAGAAGCCCAGAACTCCATCCAGGTCTCCCAGGTGGGTGGCAGGGACTGAAGCACTCAGGCCATCTTCAGGTGCTTTCCCAGGTGCATTAGCAGGGAGCTGGGCAGAAGTGGAGCACCCAGGACTTGAAAGAATGCTCATAAGGTATGCTGCTGTTGCCCACAAGTAACTTAACTGATGGTAGCACAATGCTGGGCCCTATATTATTTTCTGATTTTTTAAAAAAAATATTTGTTTATTTGAAAGGCAGAGTTACTGAGAAAGTGGGAGAGAGAGAGAGAGAAAGACTTTCCATCTTCTGTTCACTCCCCAAATGGCCACAACTTCCAGGGCTGGGCCAGGCAGAAGCTGGGAACCAGGAGTTTCATCCAAGACTCCCATGTGGGTACACAGGCCAAGTATTCTGGCCATCCTCCATTGCTTTTCCAGGCACATTAGCAGGGAGCTGGATCAGAAGTGGAGCAACTGGGACATGAACTGGTGCCTGTTTGGGATGTTCGTATTTCAGATGGCAGCTTAACACACTGTGTCACAAGGCCGGCCTCTATGTTCTTTTGTTTGTTTATGTATTTGTTTTACATGAGATATCCAGTTTTCCCAGTATCATTTATTGAAAATCCAAAATTTCTTCATTGAATTACCTATACTGTTTTTTAAAGCCATTGCAAGGCCTTTCAGTTGTTAACATTTTATATTTTTTCAAAAATGGATTTATTTATCTATTTGAGAGGCAGAGTTACAGACAGAGAGAGGGAGAGAGAGAGAGAGAGGTCTTCCATCAGCTCTTCACTCCCCCAATGGCTGCAATGGCCAGAATTGGGCCAATCTGAAGCCAGGAGGCAGGGGCTTCTTCAGGGTCTCCCGCGCAAGTGCAGGGGACCAAGCACTCTGGCCGTTTTCAACTGTTTTCCCAGGCCATCAGCAGGGAGCTGGATTGGAAGTGGAGCAGGCAGGACTCAAACTGGCACCCAAATGGGATGCTGGTGCCACAGGTGGAGGCTTAACCTACTACACCACAGCACTGGCCCTACCTATGTTTCTTTGTCAAAGATCAGTTGACTATGTGCAGGCTTATTTCTGTGTATTCTGTTTATTGAGAGATAGTACTTGACTTCTTGGGCAAGTCCAGTTCTTCTCTATATCTCCTATTTATTTCATTGATCTGTATATCTATTCTTTGTCAATAGCATGGTATTTTGAGCAATGTGAT